CAGAAGATGACAATATGCCAGCCCCATGAATGAGCAGAACGTGAACACTTACTGGCATTTTATACCAAGGGTATAGTTCAATTAGTAGCTTAGCTGTCTCCGTGCAATATGCACCAAATTTGACGAGGTCCAAGGGAAGTTTGCATGAGAGGGCGACAAGGATCATGTGCAGCCTGTGGATGAGGTTTGCATCGAGTCCACAAATTACCGCAAACATGTTCTCTGCCTGGAATGCTCTTTGTGCAGTGTTTCCATCTTTTGTGTTGCCAGCTCCTTGCTTTGGCTCATCGACTTTAAGTCCAAGTTCAGATTTGAAACCATCATGAATTTCCTTCTTTCTGCTTGCAAGCAATGCCTTATCAGATTCAGACTGCACACACCACTTTAGAATGGGAAGTCGATATGCAATATGAATAAGCATCTCGAAACATCTAATCCATTTATGGAGTGGTGAGAGTCCGTACTCGTATCTCTCTTTAACTGGGCAAGGTAGCTCTGTTAGGTTAATAAATTGTTTTTAATAGGCGTTGCCCCACAAATATAACATCTCATAGAGGATTGGGTTGAAGTCAGAGCATTTATTACCTTTTGGTCCACCATGGTGAGGTGCAAATCATACTTTACTTGCATGTCTGTTTGTCTGTTTTGATCCTCTTCCAGCTCGTACCCTTTTTCTAGAGTTACACTAATAGGTTGGAGCTTCTTTATTTCCTCATTTATGCAACGACATTCCTCCTGGCTCAACTCAGTAGTTTCCTTTTTAAACTGTAGGTGGATGGGCTGGCAAAATTGGGTGGTAGAAGGAACAGGGTTCTGCCATAAAATCTGATCCTTGGTTTTTAATTGTAGTGGCACAAGAGTAGTACAAAACATACTGGCATCTGATTAATCAAAAGAGAAAATTGTTGTTTATATTCGCTGTGTCCTGATGCTCCGTCAAAGCCCCACTTGCACACCAAATCACATGATAATTGTGCACCTTTCTCAAGACCCTTCGACGACTTCAGTAATAGCCTCTTTCTGTTCCTGGATGATTCTGAGTGCGGTGTGATCAAGGAGACTCTGCAGAGGCACTTGTGCTGAATCCTCCATGATTGAAATATCATTTGGGTAGCACTTCTTTTTGGCTTCTCTGACTTCGTTGTAGGATGGATATATGTTCACATTTTTTCGTTTGGCTGCAGATCGTACCATTTGGTAAGATTGTTTGGTCATTCCAGTTTCTACCATCAATGATAAGGCCTCATCTGTTGAGAAATTCTCTTGCTTCTTGGGTGGCTGAGATATGAGCTTTCTCATCTTGGCTGGTTTTGACGGAGACATCATAAACTTTATTTACCTTTCTTTAATAATAGACATAATTTCCAGCGCCTTGAGTACCTAATTGTTGGTAGATACGTGCGCTATATAAGACTCGGATATTATTATTATTATTGCAAATTGCAGAAAATACTTAAGGTCGCGATTCTTTCCGTATGCACCCTGTGATGCTGCATAAAGAAGTTCACCTGGCTCTTTCTGAGTGAGAAGTTCACGTGCTTTTCTTTGTCGTGATCTGTTTGAAAGCGATTGCCAGTCTTTTGGGGGACGTCCTGCAATGGATTGCTGTTGCAATACCTGGGACTGATTGGGCACAAGGATCATCAATTGTAGCACTCTACATCAACAAATGCTCAAAGTCATCAGGGAGTGATAAGGTTTGCTCCAGCCACTCTGAATTTTTGTTCAACAAGTTTGTTACAGTACGCTGACTTCTGTTCCACCTTTCTTTCACTCGATAGAGAAATACCCTAACAGTTCCGATAATCTGCTGTTTGAGGCCATCAGAAACATCCGACGTATTATTACCATTAGATTGAAAAATAAAATCGAGGCATTTATTGCAAGACGCTTTTATATTAAAGATCAAACCAGAAGATTGTACAAGTTCAATCAACTGCCTTCCGGATATATTAGAGGATGCCATTCTGATGCTTGCTGAAAAGATTTCTAGAACTTACTGTTGATCGAAGAAGCACTTTGTGATGTCGTTGACCGAAAAACAGTAGCTTTAAACTAATGGCATTCACATGAAGGATTAAAGACAACATGCGTATTGGGTTTCAAGGCGCGTGTTGACAAATAAAGCCGGTGTAAGCCGGTATAGGCGCTCATAAATCAGAATATATCTTACAATCAGGCACAAACGGGCAGCTAATTTTGGTACCAAAGTGAAGAGGAGACTATGGGGACCAAGTTAGTATAAAAATTGAGGCGGGAATCCACGGAAATGTAAACTTCTTCTCTTACTTGATAAAAAAAGACCTGTTTTTAACATTTTGTTGACAATTTCTAACCTCCGTTGTAGTCAGATTCAATTTCTAAATGTTTAAAACCCCGATATTGTTAAAGTATAACTTGTGGAAAGTAGATCAACACATTTTTGGGTAAATAAATGTTTTCTAAAATATCGTTATTTTGTGTTAAACAAATGTACCCACTTCTCACTTTTTAGCCTAATTTAGGAACTTTTTTTGCGTTCAAAAATGAGGAAAAATACTTTAAAGTTTTTCCAAAGAGAAATATTTTCAAAAAGTGTTTGTGGGGGTCTAATCTTTCAAGAAAACATTGTTTAAAGTTGAACGGTCACATACCCGAATCACTATTTTGGCGCACTTTGATCTCATTCTGGCCCACTGTGCCCCGTAGGCGCTACAGCTGACCGATTTCGGCCAAGCAATAACGTATGGTAGATTAGCATATTCATTAGCGTCACTCGGCCTGACATGGCATGGGTCTCGGTATCAACCAATGGAAACCGGCAAAAAGGGTGATATTTGTTAATTAACAACTCGTGAAGGAGGCTTTTAACCTATTGTTTACTGCACACCGTAATGGATAGGAACCTCATTAATATTCGTGAGGCTTGAAAAGATTGATCGATATTGCGCACGCCAATGTTTTTTTCATAATTTTCAAAATTGCACGTAGCGAGGCCTATTTTTCCAATTTCAACGAAAAGTAATGAACATATCACAGCAACTTTTAACACATACCTGGATCATTATAGGGGAAATAAATCCTGAAAGTTGCATGAAGATACGGTCTTCCAAACGGGAGAAATTAATTTTTGAAGATTTCACCCGGCAACGTGAACATGTCTGTGCACATGTACAGTAGCTTCATTCAAAATAAAGTGTTACGTAAGCTTTAGAAATCGCCCTTCGCAACCGTATGGCTGTATCAAAGTGGCATCATGTAAGGAGATTAAAAGAACAATATTACATTTATATTTAACAATTATTGAGCATTCGCTGTGTGAACATTTCGCCTGTTGGGTGTAGGTTGCTTCTTCGTCAGCTGTTCGGACATATACGTCCAATTCAAGGATCTTTGTCATATAGCGAATGCCCAACATAGAGTATACATAGAGTTTGGCTAACAAATGGCTAACGAATGTGACGACGGGGACTTGGAGAGCGTATTTATGGGTCAGCGGAGACACGTCACGTGACTGGCCGCAGCACGCTAGGCATACGCTGGCCATTCGTTGCGTATGTTCAGCATTCGTTGGATGGACGCTACGCATGTGCTGTCATTTGTTACTATGGACGCTAGTTATATGCTCAGCATTTGTTCCTCATTCGTTGGGCATTCGTCTTATACGTCAGGAGTTCGCTAAAAAAAAAAGAAGATTTGGGCCGAGAATTTGAGCGTATCTGGACTTTGCCAAATTTCGAGAGAAAAATTCAGTACACTAGGCATAAGTTAGCTCTATTCGCTACTATGTGACAGGGGCTTAACAACGGATGGTACTCAGACTATGCACGGCACAAACTTCACCTCGCATGCACGAGGTCGGGTATGATACGTTGTCCATAACACACGCATAGTACTAGTCATGTACATGACGTGTGGCAGGCTTAGGATGCCCAGCTATCGCGTGCTGGTTGCTAATTCGCTATGTATATCTGCATTCTTTTCAACCGACTATGCTAGTACGCATGAACGCCCAGAGGTTTGTGTTTTTTTGGTAACTTTAAGAAACATGTTAATGTCAGCAAGTCAAATTTATTTGAGTCAAAGCAAGTTCCAAGTCATATTTTTTTTCAAGTCAAGTCAAGTCTCAAGTCAAAAAATAGCGTATTGAGTCCGGCTTGAGTCCGAATCAGCGACTCAAGTCAACAACACTGGTTTTTCTTGATATCAAGTGTCATCCTTATGGCCTTTAACTTATACATGGAGATAATCGATACATCGAATATATGGATTTCCGATATATCAATTATTGAAATTCTGATATCGACGAACCCTAGTTCGCATCCAATTGTCAGTGCGATTACAAGGTTGAAGGATCACGTATCCCTGGAAAAAGAAATGACTGTGCAAGTTACCCATCAAGGTTCCTGAAATACTGTAGTGTAACTTGAGTTATTGTGATGAAATCATTCCTAGGTTTTTGCAATATGTTTCAATTTTTCCAGAAAATATTTGTTTAAATCCCCTTTTAAACCGCCATTGTTATTGGACGGAACCATGCACTGTCAGGATAAGGTGAATTTAGCATGTTAAGTGAACTGTTTTATACTGACACCGAAATTGTTTTTATCTGGAGCATTCATCCCCAAAATTCTGAAAAGCTTGAGGTCAAAGCCATCTTAAAATAACGTCAGAGTGACATACACAGGCAGTCGGGTAGGAACAGATGATGTCAACATATCGGTAGTCCGAGTCACACTCACTGTACTACTCTTCCAGTCAATGTCCTCACAGGGTCACATGAATAATGTTCATACCTTATGCTCTGTTTCCTAAATCTGATAAACTGCTTGAAGAGACCAGTACTTTCAATCAAATGTTATGGGGAAAAGATGGATAATTGCATGTAAGCTACACGAACATGCCAGTTCTGCAAACTAAATTGCCATCCTTTGATCTTCACTTCAAAAAGATTCTATCCAAACAGTTTCAATTTTTTTTTTATAAAAGGCACAATCTTAAGAAAATGAACAAATACTTACTGCAACTTTATGTCCTTCTTTTCCGCAACCATTGCAAATGACGACGACTTTTATGCCACCAGTTAGAATCTTTTCATTAAATGCATATCTGAAATGATGATGGCAGAGAGAAATCTCAGACTTGCTCATGTCTGTCTGTGTATCAACTTCAACAATGCTTTTCACCTGTTGCTGCCTCATAACGTCATCCCCGCATCCAGCTGAACAATACTGTTTGTCTGGTACAATGCAATTTTGCAAACGCGCAGTATTTAAATGTCCATCAAGAAGGTCAACATCACTTGTTGAACCATCCTTTTCAGTGGAATCAGTAACTAGCGAATCCTCAATATCAGAGTCACTTCCAATGGTACTTTTCCTGCAAGCAGACTCCAGCTCCGAATCATTCCCTGACTTTCCTTTCAGTTTTGCTGATACAGACTTGGTAGAGTCCTTGGAAGGTGGCAACTGTAAGTTTCTTGAAAGACCACTCATCATTGATATTGTTGGTATAGCCCTGCTCACACCTGTGTTACCGATAGGTATTTGTTCAAGGTTAGCTATCTCATCTTTAGTGTCCAATTCAATGCATTGCTTGGTGGTTTGAATACTTGTATTCATGGTATCCACATTCTTGGTCACTGTATCCTCTGAGCTTTTTCTGTTGGTCTGGATGGCCTTTGAACTGTCAATTCTAGCATTTGTTGTCTTGGTTGCTTTTGAACCACTCACAGCATTACTTCTACATGTACATGCAGCCTTCTGTGGTTTGCCAAAATAAAGCAAAGCCTGTTGAAGTCGGTCAATCAGGTACTGAAAAACAGTGTTGGAGCTAAGTGACTTGGCAATATTCTTCTTGTTGATGGCAATGGGATCTAAGGAACACAAAACAGAAACTAAAAAGTAAAATGTTACTCAAGAATTATCAACTACTTAGATAAACAATCTGATAATAGATCTTTTGTCTATCTAAATTTTTGGAAGTAATTTTGATGGAATGAGTAAGGTTTATACTTGCCTAGTTGGAGGTTTCAAATAAAAGTTAAAAAGTTTAAAATTTAAGATAAAATGACCCCATTCGACTTTTATTGATCAATATGCATGGGCGTCGCGAGGGGGAGGCAAGGGGGGGGGGCGCTTGCCTGCCCCCCCCCCCCCCCAGAAAAGCAACCAAAAAACAGAACTATTTAAGTATTGGGCCGTATGTATAATAACTAGCATGTGCTTTTACTACCTATTTTTAAGCATTTACTTGCATTTGTATGCATAAAAATGAAGTAAAAAGATTTTTTTTTTTTAATTAGCTTTTAGCAAATGCTTTCCAGTAAAAGCATTTGCTAAAAGCTAATTAAAAAAATAAATAATACTTTTTAGCTTGTGCAAGACTAGAAGTGTTTACTTCATTTTGTATGAATGAAAAGGAGTAAAGTTAATAAACTACTTTTAATTAATACCACACACTTTATTTTGAATAACACTATGCGAAATTCAAAAATTTTTTATTAATAATTCCATGACTAGAAGAAACAATACTTTCGCATTTTGCGCACCAGGGGCCCTCGAGAAGGAAAATTAACGTGAAAAAGTCAAAGTTTTTGAAATTGGAATTGCATGTGTGGAAACTGAAAAATCGCATGACTTAAAGGAAAATATCGTGTCAAAATTAACCTCTCACTTCCGCAAACTTCCCTGTGGACTCATGGAACTCGATCACTTATTCAAGCATGACAATTTATGAAATAATTTTGTGGCGGTCAATGGGTAAAAACTGAAAAAGGAGACAAAATTTTTTGAACAAACTTGAAGGAGTTGTTTTCATTTATAAACAAATCTAAATGACCGTTGATGAGAACTGTATTAAAACGTGATCCAAATGAGCTTTCCATCTTTGCCGTATCCAGGGTTCGAAGTTAGCGGTAGCCCGCTGGATACGGCAAAGATGAAATGACAGGAAGAAATCATTAAATTCAGAAAGCAAACCTGTATCAATTTGCGTGAAATTTGATCAACTGTTGAAAAGGGTTAAATTATTAGATCTGTTTATTAAAACACTGACAGAATTGCCTCAGAATAGATGAGACATCAGTTGGAAATGGGTAAATTCCTTACAACCTATTTTCGTACTTATGTCTCCTTGTTCGATCAAGTCTGTATTCACATCGCGTACTTGCGTGAGAACGAAACTGATAACGACGCGAATATTTACCTACTTACATCTGACGGATTCCAGATTTATTCAGGCTCGTTTGGATCACGTTTTAATACAGTTCTGATCAACGGTCCTTTTAGATTTGTTTGTAAATGAAAATAACTCCTTCAAGTTTGTTCAAAAAATTGTCCGTTCCAAAAGAAATTTTTGTCTCCTGTTTCAGTTTTTACCCATTGACCGCCACAAAATTATTTCACAAATTGTCATGCTTGAATAAGTGATCGAGTTCCATGAGTCCACACGGAAGTTTTCGGAAGTGAGAGGTCAATTTTGGCACGAGATTTCTCTTTCATGTCATGTGATTTTTCAGTGTCCACACATGCAATTCCAATTTCAAAAACTTTGACTTTTTCACGTTAATTTTCCTTTTCGAGGGCCCCTGGTGCGCACCACCAGGGGTCAAAATGTCAGGCTCTATACATGTTATACATGTATGCACATTGTTGTTTATGCTGTTATAGTAATAATAATAATTTATTAATTTATATAACCAAATTCTATTAAAATATATGAGACACTCTATAAAAGAAAAAAACATGCGGGCTAGTTAGGAGTCTGTTTCAGTAGCCCGGCTGGCTAGTGAACAAAAAATTTAAGGTCAAACCCTGCGTATCCCAATAATTTTTTTCACTCGCCAGCCAGGCTACTTAAGGAATAGTTTGACTAGCCCGCCGCTGTTTTGACTAGCATTTGGCTAGTGGGCTACCGCTAATTTCAAATCCTGCTATTCAAATTACCCGCCCTTAACCACTCTACCATATCTCATTTACATATCAATGCTAAAGTAGATTTATTCTAATTCGTCCCGGTACTCAACCGAATAAATCAACATTTTACACGTAGGGTAATAGTCCAATTCAAGGTGATGCATACAGTACATGTAGTAGTACATTTGATCCTCAAAACCAGCAGAAATCATGACACTTTTTGCCAGTTGCAGAATACAGAAATATACTTTCATCATTCATGGAAATTATAAAGGTCCACAGTGTCCTGTAGATGTCACAACTGCATAAAAAATCACAGACACGTGTTAAAACGGGTAAAATCATACCAAAATTCAATACACATAGAGTTTTGTTAATTGAAATATAAAAAAATAATAATTACCGGGAACAGGTCATTAGACTTTCCCATAGACTGGTGCACAAAATTTTTCATACTTAAATGTGCCCTAATCCAATATTTCCTTGTCCTTTTTCCATGAATGTCGGTATGTTTACTAAATAGACCACGAGCAACAAATATAACTCAATTGCAACAGTAAAATTTGCCTCTAAAGGGGGGCTGTGCCATTAGTGAGACAGTTATGTGTCTCCCTAATGACCGGTGTCTCCCTATTATCGAAGAAATTATGATAACATGTCTCCCTAATGGTACATTTAGTAATATTATAATACTTTGCAAAGATTGGTGACCTAATAAACTTTAAAAAAATGATTTCAGTTTGTTCAGTCCCCAGGGTGCCGTTGGATAAAATGTATCCTTAATTATTCTATACCGCACTGAATATCACGCTAACACTTCTCACATTATGAACAAAATGCAAAATTATCGTTTCTTCTAGTAATGAAATTAATAATAAAAAAGTATTTAAATTTTGCATAAATGTTATACAAAATACAGTATACGGTATTATATGTAGTTTATTAATGTTTTGTGTTAATTTTGGGGGGATTAATATTAACAAATGAAGCATTTTTTTTTGCACAGAAGTGTATGCGTTATATTTTCAATGTTGCCCCAACCCAGCCTTGAAAAAATTACCAGTAAATATTTGAAATTTGAAGCATTTACTCCTTTTTATTCATACGAAATGAAGTAAACACTTCTAGTGTGGCAAAAGCTAACAAGCAGTGTTGGAGGCCGGCCTCGAGGCCGATTTTCATGGCCTCGGCTTCGGCCTCTGAGTGCATGGCCTCGTCCTGGAGGCCTCGGAGCCTTCCAGCCTCGGCGAATTGGTGGAAGCAGGCTCTGTGTTTCTATTTCAACTAATTATAATTTTTTACGATATCAAACCTTCGAGATTCTGCTGCAGTGGGTTCCATAAAACGAAAGCATACACAATGTACGCACGAATGAACACTGGTAATGGTTGCATTGAACGTACTCACGTACGTAGCATCTTTGCCTAGGCTGCGCTTTGGCCGTATATATGCGGGGACAAAATCGCATCCGAAGATCAGAACAGCTAATCACAGGGCGCCTCGATTATTTATGCTGAGTAGTACATGTTACTGCTGCCGGGTCAGTATTACATTCGACATACACAGTACAGTCTGTAGACCAAGGGCTGTTGGCTGTTCTACTCCACATTAATAATATGATACGGCCCTGTGACTGTTGTGAATGATCTTCGGATGCGATTTTGTCCACACATATACGGCCCTGGCGCAGGCCCTGCACGTGTGTGTGTTTATGAACCGGGGATTTTTTTTGTACACACCCGGAAGTTGCACTGAAAATATCTCTTTTTATCTTGCTCGACTTGATTCTTTTCGCATTTTGCATGGATCCTCTGCTGCAATAAGGATAAATCTACAGTCACATAGGGGACTTTTTATTTGTAATTTGAACAGAAATTGAAATCATCTGCAAAAATAGCAAAAACCGCCAACTAAGTAAGGGGCTTCGTTCCAGTGCTACTGGCGAATCTCTCCATGTCACGCCAATGACGTCATTAGCCATTAACGCTGGAAATTCAAGCTACACTCGTCCGACGTACGTCCCTGAATGAGTGAACGTCACAAGTGCAGTAGCCAAAGCGATAATGGGACAGGGAACCAACCCGTTCTTCGCATGCATGTCTGTCCTACACTTCAGCTTTCCACGTGCGTGCATGATATCACTCAGTTCATCAAAATGATCACAAATTCTTGGATCATCCTATTTGGATACAATGGCTACAAAGAATTTGAAGATCATGGTAAGAGGAAACACATTGCAAGCTGTAAAGTTTGTAAGCCGGGCACTCCAAAACTCAGTGAATTCAACTAAAAAGATGTTACAAATCTAACAAAATTTTAGCCTTGTTTTAGTGATTTATATTTTATTACGTGTTTTAATAGCTGGCCTCAACCTCGGCCTTGGCCTTGGAGATGGTGGCCTCGGCCTTGGCCCCGGAGGTTGTGGCCTCGGAGGTTAGGGCCTCGACTACAACACTGCTAACAAGTAAAGAGTAAATATTTTTAGCTTTCAGCAAATGCTTTCAAGTAAAAGCATTTGCTTCATTTTTATTCATACAAATGCAAGTAAATACTTAAAAATAGCAAATGCTAGTTTTTATACATACGACCCATTGGCAATTTGGAAGTTAATAAAACTATTGTGTACAACCCTCCCTTTTTTCCCTTTCATTTTTTTTTTTTGGGGGGGTAGAAATGTATTGAGAACAAAGTTTGATTACACCATCTTGCCACTTTTATTGCACCTTGTCTTATGGCTCAGAACATTGACAATGGCCACACCTGTCCTCCATTGTTAAAGATTGCTTTATCCCACTTATATTCCTTTGTCATAGACAAGGTTGTCCCAATACTCAATCAAGTTAGTGAGCACTAGAACAGAATAAAATATTTAAACATAAAAAATTGACTACCTTCAATAACAAGCCTTCTATTAGGAATCTTTAGCTCTTCTCTACTGATAGGCTCCCGTTTTCTCACAGAGATGACCATTTCCTCCACTGCCACGTCGACTGTATAGAATTGTAGCATCTTGATCCACAATTCTCCAAGGGTGTCAGTGTTTTGGCGTTCCAAAGTTTCATCCTTTAAACACATACATGTATATACAAAAAAAATATGATATACACATTTCTAAACCAGTGCCTAATACAAATTCATGATCAAGAGCCGAACTCTCAATGGTCCATTCACCATCACGTGCCAAATGCTATTTTTGTTGTTTACCCAGCGCATGCTCGAGTATTCACGCAAAGGGTAAATATGCATGCGTAGTCTACTATGCATGTGCTTTACGAAGCAATCTGTCCCATGGGTGTAATACGCATGCGCAAACATCGCCAAATGAAAAGAATGTTGGTTGCACGCGTAAATGTTAGTTACTGTTTTCCCGAGCTCAATGATGCTGAACTGGAGAATATTGTGGACAATAAAGATGCATCCTCTATTACAAAAGATGCCCACAATGCGGTATAAACTCTCAGGAGTTACTGTATTGCAAACAAACTGAACTTTTCTGAGGTTGAGGAAAAATATTCTTCTGGTGAGCTGGACAAGTTTCTCCAAAGATTTTATTCTCACGCGGTGCATACTGCAACGGGAAAAATTCGGCAAATGAATATAGTATATTATGAGGTATAGTAAAACAAATACAACATGGTTTATTTCGGGTGGAAAGTCGATATAAGTCTGGTTCCCAGACCCGAAAATTATTCCTGATGCTCACATCTAAATTGTAGGTCAGGCAGTAACCACAGCTAAAAATAAACAAGATGACATTTTTCAAAGCTTGGCTTTGTTTCCGAATTCGCTTTATCACTTATAGTTTTTAATGTTCCGATCAAATTTATAAAATAAATCACTTGCTTCATATACCGTACAGTTATGTTGTAGATTTTGATATTTCTGTAAGAAAAAGGAGGCATTCCTTCTTTAGTCACATGACTGTATATATATTTTGTAAAGATACAAGCAGCAGCCTGACCTAACATTCATCAGAAATAGTCAGAATCTTTTGGTCTGGGAACTGGACTTAGTCGATATTAGGTTACCTCGGTATTGCAAGTAGTCAAACAAGCTCCCTCGGCGAAACTAACTTTCTGATACCTTTGGGAGCTAATATACAAATAACGAATGTTTGTGAGTGCGATGGTAAAAATAATTTCATGAGGTGACAGATTGAATGTTCTATTGCACGAGGCGAAGCCGAGTGGAATAGAACATTCAATCTGTCACCGAATGAAATTATTCTTTCCATCGCACGAACGTAAAACATTCGTTATTTGTTTTATACAACACCTGAATAAATTCTCGTCATTTGATTGGTAAATTATAAACTACAATTTATTTGATTTCAAAGATGTTGAACTACCCCTTCACGAAAATGTTTGAACCAAACGCTGTAGCGCTGGCTCTTTGGAACAATACGCGCTACGCTGATCGCGCACACCAGCATGCATTTTGCACGCAAATACCGCGTCATGGAACAAGCGCAAAGTGAAACGGTATAACGCATGGGTATAACGCATGGTCGCACCGTGCATTATACCGAATAATAATATGTCACGTGATCTACAATTCACCAATCAGATGACGGGGATTTATTCAGGTGTTGTATAATATCGACTATCCACCCTCAAACCATACTATATTGTATAATATAGGGATAAATTTACATTACTTCATTAAAACAGGTATCAAATTATTTGATTTTTGTATGAGCACATAAAAAATCTTTCGAATGATACCATTTTAGGAGGAATAATTTCCCACGGTATAAAAGTACTAGTCTTTTCTTCACTTTGAGCAAGGTTTTTAGGTACCGGTACAATTCTGGGTTATTGCCAGTGTTTCCACGTGTCTTTAAAATTGTCCACTAGTCTTTCAGATACATGTAGCTGTAACATCTGCAGCAAAGATATTTATCGGTAATTGGTAAAAAAAAAAAAAATAATAATACACTAACTAATTTTACAGAGTAGTTTCTGAAGCTAATTTCACAAAACACAAAAATAAATCTTAAGGCCAGATACACTGAAGAAATAAATGCAAGTTAAAATTTGTGAATGTTAACGAGAAAAAAAAAACGAAAAAAAAAACCTCTTCGAACCTCTTGGAGAACTGGAACTACTGGTGGGTCGCAATGCTGAAGGAAGAAGATAGTCATCAAGACAAATGAATATGCAGGCATACTGCCATCTGACTGACTGTCCAAGCCACAAAGTCTTGCCCAGTACCGAAAAGCCATGGCTAGCAAATACACTCGAGGATCCAACTGCCGGTATTCAGCGAGTAACTTTGATGTCTTGAGGGCAGAGAGTGAACTTGTACTTAGTTCACATCTGAAACCACTATCAAAAAATGTACAAATAGGAAAGCAGGAAATTTATCAATACAACTTATCAATTACATACAAATGTATTAATTTGAATTCAATAAAATGTATTTTTTCTCAGTGCATTAATTTACGTTTCAATTTCAAAAACACTTTGGACAAATTTAAAATTAACAATTAATAATAAGAGACTGGCATTTACGAGGCACAAATTTCTATGGCATTCATCTAGCGGTAATAAATAATAGAAAAAAAATCTCTACTGAGAGGAAAGGCAAGCAAAACAGGTGATAAAAGTTTAAGGTGCTCCTAATTTTTCATATTTTGATCGTCTGCATTTTCTTTGAAATTGATTACACAGCTGTGAAGACTACAAGCCTGCTAGACTGATTCTCTGATCTTACAATTCCCCAAAGTCTATAAATTGATCCGTTTTATCTTAAGTGGGGTCAGGGAAACAGACTACAAGAATATGATTGGTTTTCTTGGTTTTTCCAGCATCTATGCACCCAAAACGTGAAACCGGTCAGTGTAACAATATTTGCTATAACATACTAATCCTCCAATCCATTTATTTCTGATGAATCCATTTATTTCTTAAATTGCAGCAAAAGCAAATGTTGTACATTCCCTTTAAGTTGGCAATTCCACAGTTTGATGGACATGGCTAAGAAAAAAAAGTAAATTTTTTTAACCCAGTTTCACATTTTTATTACAGATTATACATTCAAGTATGTGAAATTAACAAAGAAAACCCAATCTTATCAAACATTTTTTGAGAAATCGTGTCGTAAAGTGAAAAATAATTTGTTACTGCAAAGAACTCTAAGAATTTGGTAAAGTTTAAACCTTGATTGCTATAAATGCAATTAGAGAAATTTCAATCACCACTTTATTTCTAGCATGAATGATAATCTTAATCTCCGAAACATATGTAAATTCACAGCTGTCATCCATTTTTAAATATCAAAAAGTAGCATTTTATACTTTTTTTGAAAATGTAACGTGAGTTACCTCCTTCGCATGAACACTGATATAAATATAAGTCTTTTGTTGATACTAATACACACATTTTAGGATAAAAGCCAACTAAATTCTGTAACGTGAATAACTTTTGTAATGTAACCAAAAATGTAACTTGAGTAACCAAGTTTTTTTTATCCCAAGTCACCCAAACTATACCCAAACTGACTTTTGCTTGATAATGTTGATTTTATTGATAACTGTTTATCTTAAACCAAAGCCCCTCAAGCATTAGAGATACCTTTAAGCATATTTTATGCTGTTTATGGTGCAAAATGGTCTTTGAGACAAAACTCTTTGTTTTTTAAATTGAATCAAGGTCATATCAAGTCGACTCTCGTCAGACTGCAACAAAGGCACGCCACACATCACAGTCTCCCATGGCCGTCCTGATCTCGGCTGTGGAAGGTAGCCCAGTATCACGACGCAGCTGGTCCACGTAGGTTAGCGTCTGCCCACCTCGAGAGGCTACTCCATGAGTGGGTTCCCATAAGATGAGTTGGCTTGCAGCTATCTCTGGATGCCGAACGCAGTGACCAGCCAATCGCAGACGCGTAAGTCTGATAGTTGTAGAGATCCTTGGCAGGTTGCCATAGAGCACCTCATTCCTGCCTTTGTCTCTCCAACTCACGTCTAGAGCCATCCTCAGCATGTGAGTGTAGCAGCCATCGAGTCGAGCCTCTTGCTTTGTAGTAAGGGTCCATGCCTCAGAGCTGTAGAGTAGGATGGACTCCACGGATGCACGGAATAGAGCTCGTTTGAGTTTATCCGGCATCATAGACCTCCAGATCTTCTTGAGGTTTTGGCAAGCCTTCCAAGCCTGTGCTTTCCTTACTCGGATGTCCTTGTCTGTTGAGCTGATGTGGGAGCCCAGGTATATGAAATCTTCTCTTACAGCTAGGGTAGTGCCATCCTTGGTGTTGATTTTCACATCCCCAGTGTCGATGTTGAAGCACATGACTTCCGTCTTCTTGGCATTGATCTGCAGGCCAATCTTTTTGCACTCTCTTTCCACGCTGAGAAGCAGAGCTTGTGCCTTTTGCACTGAATCCGAGACCAGAGTGATGTCATCCCCAAAGTCAAAGTCGGTCTCTACAACAGCACTCACCCGTCTGCTTTGCCTTGGTGAAAGGTGAGAGAGTGAAACCCAGCAGCTCCTCCCTCCCCATGATTGCTCGCCTCAGAGCATAGTCTAGGGCGATGACAAATAAATAGGGCGCAAGAGTAGGCTTGCAGAATTTCCATGAGCTTCCCTCGGTGGATCGAGTCAAACGCCTTCCTAAAGTTGATAAAGGTCATCACAGCTGGGAGATGCTTCCTGTTAACTCCTTCGATGGTCCTTCTCAGAGCCAATATCTGTGAGACTGTGGACCTCTTCTCTCTGAAGCCGTTCTGGTTTTTGCGCAGCAGAGGATCGAGAACTGGGCGGATTCTATTCAGAATCATCTGATTGTAGACCTTGGCAACCACAGAGCTGAGGCTGATTCCTCTATAATCATCTGCCCTTGTGAGATCGACTGACTTCGGGATAGGAACTATGTTGAGTCAAGTATGTCCAGGTCAAGTATTTTATCAAGTTTTTATGTTGGTGAATGTAATAAAGAAAACACAGGTATGTCGCTACGTTGAAATTAAAATGTTTATTTGGAACATAATTTAAATTTTAATTACATGCAGGCACTTCACACTAAGCTACCCGGTACAATGGTACAGTTATATCCTGAAACCCACTCTCCACATATACAAATATTGAATGCTTTGAGTGGTGTAGTAAAACTAGCCTCCCGAGGTGATCCATGGACATTCTATTTTCCCGAAGCAAAGCCGAAGCAAAGCCGAAGTACCAAAATGACAACACAGAGTGCACAAGTCCTGTCAATTAAATCTTTCGGTTGTGTACTGCCGCACGTGGCATCACTGGGTGACAGCAATCATTGGCATGTGTATGTATTACACTTCACACTGTAGGTACCAATTCCAAATTACATATTCTCTGCATGTTCAGTGGCTGATTGTTACGAAACAGAGTTTTTCGTCTTACATTACATTTACAAGGATGTTTAGAATATAGAAAATAAAAGGAAGCTTTTCCTTAAACCTTTGTAATTAATGATGTAGTTTTAAAAAAGCAGAAGATAAAAAATGTGTCTTGCAAGAGACCAATAAAAAAAGAATTGGCGCATGCTCATTGTCATTTGTTTACAAATGATGTGCCTTCTTCAAATATTGTTGTACAGGCGGGGAGAAGAAACTTAGAGGACCACATGATTTAATTTCGGTAATCATGACATGGCTAAAAGCTAGTGTTCAGACGTGTAGTTGCAGTGTAATTGCTCTTCTGTTTTAGATTAGCTTTGATTTAAATTACACTATTTAGAATTTTTATGCAATGTATAAAGTATTAAACAAGTCTAGAGGCGAAATTTTCAGCGGGTTTTAGCAACCTTAACAGTGGTTTTTGAGCACTGTGGGCATTTTCATGTATTTTTTTTTACATTAAATGTAGCAGTTATAAAAAACGTTTACCCATTTCTATGGGAATCAAATTAGGTTCTGCCCTTCACCAATATATACACTGTATACTCAGTATGTTACCTCCCGAGTAAAAGTTGGAAAAAATCACTTGGGTGGGACTCGAACCCACGACCTCCTGCTTTCTAGTGCAGATGTCTTACCACTCGACCACCGAGCTAACGGGCAGAAACCTAATTTGATTTACATCACCCCGACACAAAAATTCTGTCTTATGAATAGTTTATGCGGTACCCGCTGCTATGTACATTAGATTCGAACCGGCCAACTGATCCCGTTAGCTCGGTGGTGGAGAGGTAAGACATCTGCATTAGAAAGCAGGAGGTCGTGGGTTTAAGTCCCACCTGAGTGATTTTTTCCAACTTTCACTCAGGAGGTAACACACTGAGTATACAGTGTATATATACATTGTTGAAGGGCAAAACCTACTTTGATTTACATCACCCCGACGCAAAATTCCATCTTCTGAACATTCTATGGGGCTCTGCTTCGCAAAGCCCCCATAGTTCTCGGGTAGATTTATGGAGTGAAATGGGACAACGTTTGAATGTTTTGTTTGGATGGGCATTGCAACGCAGGACACCAACCTTTTACGGAAATCTTTTTGCGTATGCATGCTTCAGGCCTTGTTTGCTTCAACATCAAAAACCATAATATGTCAGGCGCGGTTCTACGGGGGGGGGGGGGGGGGGGGGGGGGGGGGCTGTAGCCCCCCCCCAAAATTTTGTCTAGCCCCCCCCAAAAAAATAAATTCCGTAAAAAAAAATTGCATTAGCAAAAAGAAGGATTGTGATGTACATGCGAACGGTCTTCCCCTAAAGAAGTAGTCGTGACAAGGGCGCATTAGTTAATATAGTGTGAATGAATTTAGGATTTTATTGGCGCTCCCCATTGAAAATATGGCATGGCAATAATATGGCAATATTGACATATTGCCAATATATTAATAGTTTATTGTGATGGTCGTAAACAGCATATAGCGATTAATGGTACACAATTCTTCTCGACTCATGCAAATGCAATTGACATTTAGGAAGGAGACGAGGCAGGCAATTAGACTCTATTTTTGTGTGACCATGGCAGTAGCTCAATTTGTGTTTATCACAGATGAAAAGATGAATACATGGCGAGTCAAACAGAAAGTGACCGTATGATAAAAAAAAAATGGCACGCTCCATTTTGTAAAAAATATAACTGGGATAAAGAACATGTTATTGAGTAGTAACTGTGAACATTTCACGTAATTTGCATACTCTATTCCCAAGTCGTGTCTATTTTAATAAAGAGATCACAAAATTCAGCTGTCCACCACTAATACCAATTTAACAGTCTACGAATTGATGAATATCCATTAATAAATATAATGGAAAAAACAAAACAACGTTTCCCGCCTCCATGAATAAAGGAAAAATTGAAAAGGAAAATAGAAAAAAAATCACCAATATTTCTAGGGAAAAAGAG